ATTTCTGCAAACCAATAAGCCTGAAGTCGGCAATGATTAAATTGCCCCTTGAAGCTCATAGCCACTCGTATGTCTCTGCGTCTTTGGGGTCTCATCTGTGCAATTCATTGCAGCTTCAGTCTGCACCTGAATCTCCAGTCTGTCATGCTGAGGGTGAGAAGAAATGCCCTCTTAACAAGACCCTGGGCATCACCGGGGCTGTCTGCAATCTAGGCTTCCAAGGAGTATATTCTGCATGAGCAGCTAACGAAGCTCACAGGAACAGCAGAAACTGCACAGAAGCAGAAAACGACTATTCAGAACATACACCCATGGAGTGACGGCATTAAAGAAATCCTCAAGGCCCCTAGCAATATAGCTGCCAAAAGGAAAAAAAAGGAAAGACTTCTTATTAAAAAAAAAAAAGGCCCAAGTAGAAGTTATAATAAGGATCCACATACATTCTGCAGGTTATAGAAATTATTGCAGCATTAAAAGCGATCATAGCATAACGTCACCTAGTGTGTATGAAATCCTGGACAATATAAGCTGAGTTGCAAAAAGGCCAGCACAGTCTAGAAACACCAGGGAAATAAGAAGTGCGTGTGAGAGGAAAAACATTCATGTGGTATTTCTGGATCACCGTTCTCAGTGCTTGCAGGAGAGTCCACAGTGTTTCTGGATGGCACCTCAGCAGTCCTTGGCACTCACACACGTCCTTCCTTTCTCAAGCCAGGCTCTGCTCTTTGAGCTGAAAACTTCTGGATGTTTCCATTCCATGTTATTCCTTCACTTCCCATTCTATTCCTAAAATCTCGTCACGGAGGATGGAGAGGGGAGGAGGATGGAGAACTAACAAGCGCTTGAAAAGGGGTACTTTGGGAAAACTGCACACCCACCATCTCCTTAGGATCCAGGCATGAGAATGACAGAGCTAGACGGTGTTTAAAACTGCCCATTTCCAACTTTAAAACTGAGGGAAGCCAGGCTCAGGGAAGTGAAATGATTTGGTTAAGGTTACAAAGCTGGCTTCCTGGCAGAAACAGATTTAATAAAGCTGTAGCTTACATTTTATATATGGTTGGAACACTTAAAGCCATTTCCCAGCTAGGTCATAAACACCCCACTGAGGATAGCCCCCTTTTCAGGTGGCAAAACAGGCTAGGATACTCTGACTTTTTCCCTAAGCGTATGTAGCTAATCAGGGCTGGCTCTGGAACCCTTCCCCGGTACCCAGAAAAGGGCTTATGTTAGGTGTGTGGCTGGCAGGCAGACGACCCTGCCTACACCAGGCTTCATTAGCCCCAGCCCACCCCGAGTGGAGCTGAGCCATTCCTCTCTGCCCACGCCCCAGCTCAGGGAGACCGCATTACTGAGGGAAATGCATTCGGGTACCTTCGGGCACATGCCGTACTGAGAAAATTGAGACAAAAGGCGAAGGATGTTCGGGCGCAGTCAAGAAGCTGTATTACAAAGGTACATCACTTTCATATTCATTTGCACATTTTTCCTCATAAGAAAATTAGGCTTTAATGTAACCTCAATTTCAACCTTGTTGCTTTATTGCCTAAAGCCCATTAGAGAGCTATTTCCCAGGGCCAGGAACTTATGATTGGAGGTCAGGAGGCTGGGGTTTTAATCGACTCACGATGCGACTCCTTTCCTGGGGCTCCACTCCTGTGTCTAGGCTCTGCTGTATCACCGGGGGGAGGGGGTTGCATCCTACATGCGAAGTGAGAATTTTTCTCGATACACCAAGGGCTCAGTTAGCTGCCTCTGTGTGTGTGTGTGTGTGTGTGTGCGCGCGCGTGCGCGCATGCATGTGAGTGCAAGGGGAGCAAAGCTTCCACTGACTCACAGACCAGTGCATGTCAAAGCAGAGCAGCTAATGAACCATCCCAAAGAATGACGGCACCATCTCGTCTGTCTTCCTCCCCCTGGGATACACCAGGCTGTCTAATCTACTTTAGGGCACGCAGGAAGAGCCTCTGAAGGGTTTCCTGATCCCCCGGAAACACCTCGGATAGAACTACCTACAGATTGGGAACGGTTCCTATACCTAGGAACCATGGACGGTACCTAGGTAGTCTTCAAAAATGCTGATATTTCAGCTCCCCAAGTCCCTCCAGAGATTCTGATGTAACTGGTCTGGAGTGCAGCCGAGGCACTGGGATTTTTAACCCCCTCCTCGCCTCCCCAGGTGACTGTTACGTGCAGGCAAGGCTGAGAAGCACTGCTCGCCTAGGCCTAGGGGAGATTTCCCCGCATGTCCCCAACCTAAGTGTCTTCCCATCCGCCACGTCCATCTCTGCCCAGGAAGAGGGAGGCTGTCCACTCCCTCCGTGCTGGGGCCAACCTTTCCAAGCCCTTGCCATCTCTAGGCAGGATGCTGGTGAAAAGACAGGCACAGCCACTTCTGACTGCTTCCAAGCCCTTGAAGTCTCTTATTCTACTAAATATAATGCTTATCAAGCCTCAGACTTTTAAGTACAAGCGAACAGCCGTTGGAAGCCCGTGCAAGGTTCCTTCCCCCTAAGCACCCAGTACCCCGCTGGCTCCGCTGAGTCCCTTCAAAGCACATTGCCCTCCCTGCTCCCCAAGGCCAGCCTCCCATCTCTTGGCCAATTATGCAGTCTGGCACCCCCCACCATTCAGGTATCAGCTTTTCCTTTAAGCCATTCCCTTATCAGGGCTCAGAGATAATGCAAACACTAGGGAAATACTATTTTTATATTCTAGTGGGTACAGCTTATAATAATTCATGCTGGTAGGTTTTGTTTCCCATACACTCGGATCCTGACTGCAGTTCACCTCCAGGCAGCAGCAGAGTGGATGCAAGTTGGAGGCAGAGGGGGAGGCGCCTGCCTGCGTTAGATGCCAATTCAGCACCCTCTCTCCGCCTGCTTAAGACCGGAGTGCAGCGTGGCCGCCCAGGTCTGGCTTTTCATAAAGCAGCTCAGGAAGACCAAGGGCAGAAGAAGGCCTAACTTGAACGTGGCTTTCTAACCAGAGAATCACAGGAGAAGAAAGACCCTGGAGTGCCCCCACATAGGTCACCAAAAGCAACACCTTGTCTGGATTTATTCAACCATTTTTTAACTTTCCTTTTGGTTTTTTTTTTTTTCTCCACATCACTTTTCCCTAGTTCCTTTACTTTTCCAACCCCCTCCGAGAGTAAGAAAAACTCAATCCTCACGCAGACGCTACAGTTTATGAGCCTGAGAGTTCTGAGTGGAACGCCTTTCTGGGTCTCAGTTTCCCCATCTGATAAGGAGATCACACTTCACGAGATGACTGCTCATCTTCCCTCCCCACCTCACATGACTCTTAGACTGCAATCCCTTTTTACTTCATTGGAATCTTTAGGTCTTTGTTCCAGCATCTAATCCACAGCATGTGTTAACACTGTTATCCTTCCTGTACAACCCCATTCCAGTTCACCCCTAGAAGGGTGTGTTTGGGTTGGTGGGGGGAAGAGAGAATCCAAAGAATTCAATTTTTTTAAAAACTCATCCCCTTTTCCTGTTACGGTAGCACTGGTGGTATGAAAATTAATTGGCAGTAAAATATAAAACTGCTTTTCCCACTGTCACATCTTACATCTAATAACATTAGTATTCTTATCAAAAGACAATTACCACCCAATTGCAAAAACTACATCTTTTGAGGGCAAAAACAAGAGGCTACTGCAAAACATGGTATTAAATGCCCCATCTATGTTTATGCAAACTAATAGAGTTCGGTTAATATTCTCGATATTACATGTAGAGAGGTATGAAATTACAAATTCGGGACAGTTGGTAATTGTTTATCTGCAGAGTAGTTTAGATTACAAGCTACGAATATGCTACTATTCTGAATGATGTTCAGACAAGGAGGCACAGAAAGTCTATTAGTTTTGCTTGAACTCATGCTTTTTTCAATTATATATCAAATCATTCTGCTAGATTACAATGAATGTGATATATTATTTGATCCCAAATATTTCCTTTTGTAAAAGTTAGATTAGAATAAAGTAACTTTATTACACCGTTTCCATTATTTTTCCTGTGGACAGTCTTTTAATTGACAATGCTTCTGATTCCTTGAGCAAATGCTGTTAAAATTCTGCTTCTTTTTCTGTCCTTCCCCATTTTTTGTCCAAGTTGATTCAGAGCTGCCGACAAGGATGAACCTAAAATTTGTTTCCCATCAAGCCGTGCTATCAAATGCTTTTGATCTGAATAAAATCAGTACCATTAGCACATTTTTAAAAAATCAATTAGCTGAAAGGTAGTGAAAAATTGTCACATTTACTGGAAGCAATATTTTAATAGCCACAGGAACTGCAGCATAGAACCCAAGAAAGCAAAATTTCACAATGGGAAGCCATACTATAATACCAGTTGACACCAGTATTAATTTCATCTTTTTGAGGTCTCCTATTACATTAAATTATAGTTTTGTAGCTGAGTAATGAGGGCTGAGAAGATTTCTGGTCACTTTTCTTTAGAAAGTCCCTTTTCGGAGGCCACGAGGAATTAACCTTGGCTATCATTAACCACTCCTCCAGTCAACAGACAGACTTTGATTTTCCATGTCCTCCAATCAACAAAAGCTCTAAAAAATTTTCTTTTTAGTAAGTACTATATGGAGACAGCGAAGAACACTAACAGAGAAAATTACTATCCAGAGAGTTGAAATTAACAAGTTATTACTACTTGTTAATAGAAGTTGCTTTCTCTTCCAGACGCCATATACATACTTTTCATGACTTACTGCATTTAGCCACGATAACCAACCCCCCATAAATACACACACCTGATGAAGATTAAAATCCCCATTTTACATATATGAGAACTGAAACTTAAAAAACCCAAGTAACTTGCCCAGGGAAGTTTCAATGCTGGAAACTCCCTTGCCTGCGATGCAGATCATGCTCCCTCCACCAGGCTGTCCTCTTGGGGTGGATAGCAAAACCGATAAAGCTTCCAAGCATCAAGTGCCTTAGGTTGGCAAGTCAATAACCTAAGGCCAACAACACTGTGCATTTTATTCTCCCAGTACATTATTGGTAGAGAACAAATTGCCCTGGGAGAGGTATTGCATAATTTCATCTGGAGCATCGTCCTTCTGCAGCAGCAAACGCAAACATGCACACTAAAATCATGTTGCAATTAAAATCCAATTATAAATATATTATGATATTAGTCACCTACCCAGGAAAGATCCAGCAGGGACCGCCTCTGAAAGGCAGTGTGTCATAGTCTTCCAGCTGCTTCCACGTGTACTTCTGACTGTGCCCCCTGACCTGGAGTGTGTGGTAAACAATGCCTGACAGCCTGTCTCCAACAGCAAAAGGACTTAGTTTATTTCTTGTGATGGACTAACTTTATTAACACCATTACCAATTCACTTTGGAGGATGGCATGGGAAAGATATTAAGTCTTCCCCCGCAGATTATTTATTAAACAAATTAAATACAGTATTTCAGCTGGTGGGAATCAAGAGATGGAATTTGTGTGAGGTCAGGAAAATCAGAGGCACAAAAAAAGGTCCCCACGTGACTTTACATCCTTTCAGCTCTTTGTTTAAACCACCTGTTATTTCACTGACTTGAAATATTCAGCCCATCCTCATCCCGAGAAAGGCAGTCATTTCCCCACTACCCAAGATTTTTTTTTTCTCTCACACGATTTACCAACCAAATTAATGGCAGTAACAAATATGCAGCCAATCTGGAAGCCCAGGGATTTCCTTCCAACTGCTGGCATTTACGTTGATTTTCTTTAATTTGACAGAACATGTCAACGGCAGAACCCAGCCTTCCAATACTTTTCACCAGTTGTCCTTAAGTTCATCTGCCATAGTTAACACAGGCCATCCAGGCAGATCACCCAGCGCAACTCTACTCGACCACCCGGCTCCCCAGCAAGGACACAGTATTAGGACTGGCTCTCAATTATTTTTCATTTAGGAAAAGGTCTAAGGGCCAGAAGTTGGACCCCCACGGTTTCTTTTTAAGTGGTCTGGCACAGACTACGAGTCTACACTGTACGCACCAGCTTCTCCAAGCTACAAGACAGGTGCTAATTAATCTACTTAATTATGTAGTCAGTGGAAGAGGCTTACCCATAGGATTCTAAATCTGGAGAAAAAAATAGGAAGCGGAAAGGGAGGGAAAATGCTTTTGATTTCACACTGAAACCACTTCAGGAATCAGCTTACTTGTCGTTTCTGTTTAAGTTGGATTGATTCTTACATTTCCTCTCTATCATGACTGCTGTGTTTTTGTTTTTTGTTTTTTTTCTCCTCCAGGAGTACACTTTAAAAAAATGATAAATTAACTTAAGAATGAATATCTCACCTTTTTGTTTTTAAACTGCAAATAAAGCAAGAAAAAAATTCAAATCCAAATAGTACACAAACTGCAGATCAGGCCCATGAAATGCACAAGACCCCAAACGATGCTGTAATTCCAGCAGGCTCCTGTCTGCAGTTAACCACTCTCAGGGCTCGTCCCTGGGATTCTCCAGGCGCCCATACAAATGAACTTAATTACAGATACCATGAGCACAGGCCTCTGAGGCTGTGGATGACGTGAGATAAGCCAGGGATGCCAGGAGAGAGAAAACCTGGGGGGTGCAATCGATTTTGTCACATATCCTCCCTCGGTCTTTCCAGCTTCACGGAAGGGCTGAAATGTTGTTTCTCTGGCTCTCAACTGCCAGGAACACATATGAAGGCTGTGATGTGTGTCAGGGAAGGGAAAAGGAGGACGCCCGCTGCATTCCTCTAGGGAAATAAAAGCAGATCACAAGGGAGATATTCTCTCAGGGCACAATCCAACACTGGCAGAGCATCTCGAGAGAAAGGACGTCGTCACGTGATAAGTAAAGTCAAAAGGCATGAGCAGACCGTGGTCCAGGAGGAAGAATCACCCACCTGCTCCTACACAGTAACTTACACGGCGTCCACAAAAAACACCGGCCACACAGGCGTGCGCCCATGTCCCGTCCCCATCTGTGAATTCCCTAACCCTTTAGACAACAATAATTTATTGTCATGAACTGAGATAGCTGGAAATCATTTTGTAAATGAGTAACTTAAGAATTCACATGTCTCGTTGACACTAAATGACTTTCCAGCTGGGCAGAAAAATCAAACTCTCGCATTTGGCAGTTTTACAAGTTGTTATGAAAATACGTCTCCTCTTTATCTGATCTGTTTCTAGATACTTGCCTCCCTTCTGGATATTTTCCTCTCCTGTATGCTACCGCAGGTATACGAAGAGGCTTAAAAAAAATCTGGTACCGAGTGTGAGCCGTGGGCAAATTAAGAAAAAAGTAAAATGGAGGTAAGTATATCTGTTTCTAACGTCCTCAAGAGAATTCAATGAGCGAAACGTAGGTTAAGCGTTCAGCACAGAACTCGGAAGGTAAGTCCTCAGTACATGCTAGCTGGTGGTGGCATTACAACTGCTGAAATTCACTCTAGGATGGCTTTTCCCTAAAAATGTCTTTCAACATGTCTGTATGTTTCAACATATTCACAATAAAACAGAAATGAATTAGAAAACAAAAACAAAACTAAGTGAGGGCTTCAAGAAGCCAGGAAGAAGGGAAGGCTGGCGTCCATCTTCACAATGTAGTTCTGGTATCACTAAGACCCAGCTCATCAGTATTGGCTGAAATCCAGGTCTCCTGGCGCCAGTGGAAAAGTTTGCCCCACACGCCGCACAGACAAATAATCTCAGCTCACATATGTAGCTCCCAGGATGCGCCCACTACCAAACCCTCTGTAATATCCAGAGACGCAAAACACAAAGCACCCAAGAGCTAATTCGCCAGCAAGTTTTATGGGAAGGATCCACATGCTCTGCTGGGCCATCAAGGTCAGGCACCACTGGATGTTAGGTGTGAAATAGAGGATCGCGAACATTCCTGCCATTGCTTTTACCAGGGTGTGTTTCAGAAACTCTGCAGAGGACCTGAGCCTGCTCACGTCTCAGCAAAATGTTTCTGCTATTTGCATATTTACCTGTTACAAGCAGTTGTCCTGAAAGTTGCTGATTCACGTGTGGAAAAAAAAATCGATCCAGATTCTCTGTCAAAGAGACTTGTAGCAGACTGAAGCAGCACCGAGGCTCCGCTCACTCTGCAGGAAACTCAGCTGCAGTCTCTCTGGAGGCCTGTGCGTGTTGGGGACGATGGGGGCCAGGGGCTTCCCCGGCAGGGACCGAGGGAGGCTCTAGGGGGTGGCTTTGATCTCTCACTGGGAAGTTCTAAAAACTGGGGTCAAATTACTAATGCTATAGAAAGAATAATGTCACTAATAGCCAACGCCGCCTTACAGTTTTACTCCCTGTTAGATGATGCCCTAAGCAGCTCTCAGAGATTAGCAAATTAAATGTGAAAGTCAACATTCCAAAATCCAAGCCCTGACTTGGTACAAGCAGTGAGCCAAAGGTCCAACGCTGGCAGGAGAGTCAAAGTGAAGGAGAATGGGACTGAGAGAAGTAGACCCTACTCCTAATTGTTTCCACCAACGGTTCCAGGCCATCATGCCTCTTTTGTAAAATTGCATCATTGGCAAATGGAGAAATTTTCGTTTAGAAAAGACATCGCTAAACTGGCACTGTGCGGTGACTGTGGAGACCCTGATTACCAGGGGACCTGGGACCTGTGGGTGGGCTTCATGGCCCTCTGGGTACTCCCCATGCCCCCTGTGTTGTCTCCTTCCTCCCCTCCCTCTTCTCTTTAAAAAAGAGAAATCAGATTTGCATTCAAGTCTTTAAAAATGAGAGACTTTACTCACTCATCTGTCTATTCTCCATTTAAAATGGAAGTAGAAATTCAGTGAGATGCATAATTCAGAGTGGTTTACAGAAACCATGCCATTCCGGAAAAATAAATTCATCTTAATTTCCCCAAAGTATAACCACATTAAATGCCAGTACATATACATGTCAACAAGAACACGATTAATTTTTTATATCTTAACGGATGTCTGAATGATCAATAAACCATGACCTTCATCATGGCAAAACAAAGACAATTCAGCCCTGTGTCTCACATGTTAGACTTTTTTCACTTTTTATTATTTTTTAAGGGTTTTTTTTGCTTGTTTCCACTTTTTACTTTTATTTATTGAGGGGGGCAGGAAATTAGGCTATTTATTTATTAATGGAGGTACTGGGGACTGAACTCAGGATCTCATGAATATTAAGCATGCCCTCTACCACTAAGCTATACCCTCCCTCCATTATTGC